CATACTGTGTTTTTAAAATGCAAACTTATAAGTGGATTTTTTACAACAGAGACATTTGAAAAAGAAGACCCAAGTAAATGTGGCAGCTCTCCTGAATAACCCACAACCCAGTGTGGCCGAGAGGTGAGGACGCTGTGTGTTATAATCAGAAATGAGGTATTGTGTCGTCTATATTGGTGCCAGAAAATGCATCAACTTTAAAGCAAGAAACCTCTGTGAGGTGCTCGATGCCTGCTGTGTTCCACGTAAACTGCACCTCTCAAACTTTTTCTAATTTATATTAAATCCTTCTTTTTCTGGTGTAGTGGACTGAAAGAGAACAACGGAACAGGAGTAAACAACCCAAACAACACTGCAATGGTTAATGTCGATGCATCCACAGCTGCTCCAGGAGTTGAAGGTATTAAAGCTTCATGTGTCACTAAAGCTGCTTTTAGACATGAACTTCAGAAAATCTCATTTCTGGGTTCAGACATCAGAGTTTCCCCTTTACATATGGAGAACCCAGGTCCGAACCCCAAAATGTCCGCAACATTCATGTGAGGAGAGGCGAGACATGATGGATACATTCCTCTGTTACAGCACATTGGCTCTTGTCACCAAAAGCTCTCGAATCTCATTTTCATTCCAAGCTGTCATCTTTGTCTTCGACATGTTTGGCTCCTCTTTTTCATCCTAAGATATTTGTATTCTTCCAATTTTGTGTCAAGTGTCAGAAACTCCATCATCATCATGCCCACTCGCTCGCCAGGTATTCTCCTGCTGTATTCTCACATGGACTCACTCTGAACTATTACAGACATTTGACTAGTGCGCTGGCAGGAGACCTCTGAAAATTTCAGGAGAATGTCCGGAGTTCAGTTTATATCTAAATAGCAGCCTAGTACTCCAGCCCTGTAGCTTACACCCTGATGTAGATTAACCTGTGTTAAATTCTGTGTAGGTGAGACAGCAACACTAAGCCCAATGTCCGATGAATGCTGGCACAAGAGTCTGCTCTCTGAGAGCGACGCCAATATCCTGCAGCACTCTGGGAAGATGGTGCTCTTGTTTGAGATCCTCAGGATGGCTGAAGACCTGGATGAGAAAGTGTACTTTTCTTTTCTTATTTGAATCAACTATGAACACAAAAACTGCCGATGTTCCGTCAGAGTATAAATGATCACGACTAAGCAAATCAATTTTCTCATCTCAAGGCTCGTGTTCAGTCAGTCCTTGATCTCATTAAACCTAATCGAGGATTTCCTGGCAGCCTCTCATCGCGCCAGAGACCCATCAGCATTCAAAGGTATTACTCTTTTTATGGCAAAGAATATATTAAAGCCATCACTGAGACTGTCTAATTCAATGGTACTTCATTTCTGAAAGTTGTGCTTTATTGTTAACAGTCGGCAGCTGGATTAAAAATGTTGATTACTATCGTCTTGATGGTACCATCAATGCTACAAACAGGAAGAAATGGGCAGATCTGTTCAACAATCCTGCCAATGTCCGGTACAGATCAATCACTCGCTGCCTGTTTCGTCTTTTATATGCTGAAATAATGAGGCAGAATGTTTTGAGAGTGTCATGACAAAGTCTCTCCTCTGTCAGCGGGCGACTGTTTCTCATCTCAACGAAAGCTGGCTCTCTTGGCATCAACCTCGTGGCTGCCAACAGGGTCATCATCTTTGATGCCTCGTGGAATCCGTCATACGACATACAGAGCATATACAGGGTGTACCGCTTCGGGCAGCTGAAACAAGTGTTTGTGTACCGCTTCCTGGCTCAGGTGAGCTCACTGGTCTTTATTAATATCAACGAAAACTTAACGTGCAGATCTGTGTCTACAGTTTGGAGTCCACTGGCTCTATGGTTCCTGACAATGTCCCTCATTTTTTTATTTTGTGACATGAATTATATTATTCCCCCAAAATGTGTCATGCACATTAAGGTTTAACGATGAAAAAGATTTAAGAACGATGGATGACACATCATCACCAAGGAGGTTAGGTTATTTCCTGAGCTTGTTTGTTTGTTAGCAGGATTACACAAAAACTACTTTTCAGATTTCCATGGAATTTGTGGAGGGGTGGGGCACAAACCAAGAAAGAATTCATTTTGGTGTGGACATTTTCATTGATTGTCTAGGGAACTGATATTTATGAGTGTGTGAAATATCCTAATATCTGAATTTAAATGTGGTTTATAAGGGGACTGTTGGTCCTCAGCGAAGGTACATAATTTTTGATTTAATTTTTGATAAGCTGCCTTAAAATATTAACTCATGCACATTCTATTTTACAAGGTAAAACGTGTGCTGGGCTTAGATTTCTTGGAGCTGCTGTTTTTCTTTCAGTCCTCTTTATTATTGCTGTCATTTTCATCACCAGGGCACCATGGAGGAGAAGATCTATGATCGGCAGGTGACCAAGCAGTCCTTGTCCTATCGAGTGGTGGATCAACAGCAGATCGAGAGGCACTTTACCCTTTTCGAGCTCAAAGAACTCTACACATTTGAGCCAGATCTGCTGAATGACCCAAACTCGAAGAAAAGCAAGAGGACAGCCTCTGCTTTTCCAAAGGTAACGCCACTCACAGTCCTTGTCAGTTTTTTTCTGCCCTGACGTCTGACATATGACGAACTTCCAGTAAGGAATTATGTTATTTGTGTCTTCTATTCTCAGGATCATATCCTGACACAGATGTTGGAAACCTGTAAAGATCAGATAGTGTCGTACCACGAACACGAATCTCTGCTGGACCATAAACAAGAGGAGGAGCTCAGCGAAGCAGAGCGCAAAGCTGCCTGGGCCGAGTACGAGGCAGAGGTAAGAAGCTGCACACTGCAAAGCACAAATCATCTCATCTCATCACACCCTTAAAATCCAACACAGATACCAACATTTTACATTCATATTCTGTTCTTTATTATTTTCTTGCTCTCTGTAAATGTGTCTTTTTTGTTTGTTTCTTCAGTCAAAAACCGCCAGCCTTGCAGCCAGCTCGGGTCAGGACACCTTACAGTTGAAGACCAACGAAGAGCTCTTGGTAAAAATAAACATAATTTTCTAAAACCTTATCTTTCAAATACCTCTGGTGACATTTGAGACTCAAACCACATATGACATAAAAAATGTCTTTGCAGGAATTACTTAACAGGTGCAGAGTAAACGTATCAGCTGCCTTCCTGTCGCTGCAGAGGATGAGGTCTCACACCCCTGAAGAATACATGTTACAAACGGTGAGTGACCTCAATGTTGTTCATAATCATGAATAGATATTGAGTTATGTTGCACATGGTATATTTTGATATATACCTGTGCAGTGGATAAAATGCTTTGTAGCAGATAACTGAGAACTGAAGATACAAAAGCCTCATAACATCAACCTCATTGCACGCTGTGCAGTTGAGCTCTGCATGCAGTGTGCGCGCCTTGTGTTTCTGAAAAACATCACCTTGTGATGCACCTGGACACATCCTCAGTGATGTTTCCTGTGGTCATTGGGTGTTTCGGGTCTCACCCAGGCGACCCAACCGGGGTTGACCAAGCCCTGGCTTGTATCCAGGTAGCGCTACCCCACCCACGGATCTCCTCCCCTGATCCACAGCCATCTGGATGTAACTTCTGCTGCCTCTGTAGCTGCCTTGTCGCAGCCTACTTGCTCCTGTGATGCCCAGCATGTTGTAGGCCTGCAAACCCTCTGCATCCCACCCCAATGGGCTCACACCTCGCTCGCAACCCGTTGCTTTGGCATTCCTCTACTAGCTCAGAGTAGTTTGCCCTTTTCCTCTCGTCGGTCCTCCCAGGGAACGGTGATCTGGACTTCACTGGCTTGAAGCTTATATGAGCCCAGGTGACCAACTTCTCAAGGCCCTTCAGGATCCACCTGCTCCCCAGAACAGATTTTTATTGTCACAGTGAAGTCATCCATGAAGGCCCTAATGGTGGGCTGTCGGACACAGGACATAGATGAGGGGCCCTCTGCACTGAACCTCAGCAGACTTCACCAAAGTGTAAAAATATCGTTTTTTATTCACGTCACAGCGGCAACAGTATCCTCATCTGCTTGAACACGAGATGAAGACCAAGGCAGAGCAGTGGAGAATGTGTGATCAGAAGGAGCAGGACCGCCGAAATGCCTTTTATCGCGAGGTTCTTTCACAGCAACAAACAGTAAGCTAGCTTTGTGTGTTTTCATGCACTAACGCACACATACACCATTCTCATGTTTCAATCCTTTTCCTCCACAGTTCACGCTCAGAATCCAGGCCATACTGAACAGTCGAAGAAACCAAGCGATGCAGACGGCCGCGATCACTGTGAACCAGCCTGCACAGATTTGAAAACTCAATTTATGTTGTTTCAGTAAAGATTTGATGCCTTTTTACTTTATAATTGGGAACTAATTTAATTATTCCCGTGTGCCAGTGAATGTATGATTTACCAAGACAGAGTAGAGTACACCTAGCTGCTAAAGACATGTAACATTAGCAAGTTGTCAGCATTTAGTTTCAGATGTGAGGTTGAAGTGAAGTTTGATTTGTGTTTTTAACTCTTAGCACTTTAGCTTCAATAAGAAAAATAAAGTTCAGTTGTATCTGATACAGTTGACAAATACATAATCATCCTGCAGCTGCTTCTTAAACGTGCCTTACTATTTAAATTAAAGGTTTTTTCTTTATGATTTATACTGAACATTTTATGTTTGTTACCAGTTGTAATAAATTCATAAAATAACCAAAATAAATTAATTTTTGCATGTTTGTGCACAATTAACCAGCATCAGGCCAGGACACTGGAACAAGAGAGACATGTATCTTGTCAGTAATATTATGGTCCTAAATAATTTGGTCTTTTTTGTGCAAATATAGGTTTAATCTTGTGAAAAAGCAGCTTGACGCATTTTCCAAGATACTAAAAGCTGAGTTAACTTTCCTCATGACATAAACCAACATAAGGTGATCTCGCCTCCTGCCCGAGTTTCCAAGCAGAAACAGAACAGCTGTTCAGACGCTCTACCGTTTCTCTGAGAGGAAGTTTATTTGTTAATTACTGAAAGCTGCTGCGGTGGTGAAACCCTTCAAGGCTTCTCTTCACTTCAGCTGACACCAGTGCAAAGGGAAGCAGTGTGTACAAAACTACAGGTCTGGAGAAGATTGCATGCGCTTAAAAAAAATCTTTACACCAACAATAACTTTCTTATAAATTAGAGTTTTAAGTGGTATAAAAGCATTCGACTGGGGAATGAGTAACGGTCTTAAACACATACTGCAGGTTTTTATACCATCACACAAAAAAAACACTGATGAGTATTACAAATGATCCAAGATTAAAAATAACTGTTTTAGTTTGGGATGTAAATTCAAAAAGGAAAATTAGGTCAATTTACTTTCAAACAGAAGAAAATACACCATTATAATGCAGCATGCAGATCAAGTTGAATGTCATAATGGTTCAATTAGAATACAGTGATAATGTTGAGTTCAAGGTCAAAATTAAACCACACTTATGACAAATACAGTTTGAATGACATTTAGCCATGAATGTAGTGAAATCCTGTATGTCATTGACTTTGTTCCTGTGTTTCATGGTACAGCAGCAACTGGAGGGTGTCCCAGCATGCACTGCGTGGAAGAAACATGTCTGTAACAGGTTCGACAACATGTTAATCTAGTATCACACGATCACAATCACACCCATGGACATTTCTCTTTAAGGGTAGAGATTACCCAGGCATGCACAAACAAGGAGAACTGACAACAACTTGATAAAACGCAGCAATTTTGAAAATGTATTAGGTCAAAAAACATTTTTCAGTAATGACCATGAATGTGTAGATGTACGGTGGGATGATCATATCCTGACACAGACTATAACAATTGTGTAGTTTGTTTGGTGACGTTTTAGAAAGAATAAAACTACACTCTGACAGTCATACTTTAAGTTAATTCATAAAAACTTGGCATATAAAAAAATGATTTAAGTCCACAAAAAGTAGTCCTTCACAGTGATGGCTGTATTTTCCTGAAGTCTGACCCTCCAGGGGGAGATTTGGTTTTTCACATGAACACAGGTGAACCCATCTCTCATGTTGGAAGGTTGATGTGTTTCACAGCCTGAGCTCAAATCTGTGTTATTGTCCTGTGTCCAGGTCCCTCATGTAGTCCTGCAGCGCCTGCAGCCTGGCATCGATCTCTGACAGTTCGGCACCCGTATGTATGGAGCTCTCTGGAGGTGGAGACACAGAGATGTGATGATTAGATGCTGTGGGGTGGCTAGATACTAGATTTACATATGTACAGGAAACACTTTGATGTATCACCTTTTTCTTTCATTCTCTGTGTTGGAGTACTGCACAGTTGTTTCCTGGTTGAAAGGCCTCCTCTTGACTAGGAACAGATTACACATTACAAGAATAAGGCTAGTGACATCCTGTATTTACCTACTATCAAAACAATCCCATGAAAAGACCAAAACAAAAAATGACTTGCTAACAGCTACTGCCTATGTAGCAAAAGCTTGATATACAGCAGTACAGACCTCTGTTAACTCAAAACATATCAGTGAGCCACAATGTTGTACTTTGTCATTACAATGAACACGAATAGTTTCCCACTGCTGCTATTAAAAGGTTTTAATCCATGACAAAAAAAAAGTGCCGACCGAATGAACGACTGACTCCCTTCTGAATAAAGGCTCAGTTATACTCAATAATAATCCAGTTTACCCACAGTTTGATTTGACACATGCTCAGCGCAGCGGAAGGTTCTCTGCACAGGAGTGTTCACAACAACAACAAATCCTCTGCACCATTCAGGTGAGAGGTGGAGCAGCCAGCTGCAGCAGACAGAGGCAGGAAGTAACGTATTAACTCTGCTGCAGAGATCACCTGGTTTTCTTTAGGCATCCTTGTCTGTGTCTTCTACATATATGACACCGCATTTTCACTGGGAGATTTTGGGGGTTTTTTGTTTGTTTTTTTCATTTTTGCATCTGTAGCGTGTTAGATGTGTCATGAACCCTCCCACTCACTCGCAGTGAATCCAGCAGAGATCCCCTGTTGTTAGATTCCCATGAATTTCTACAGACTTTATACTAGGAGGTCAGGCGGAGAAAATCCAACAATAATCCGGAGCTGCTCACTTGGGTACTTGTGTTCACAGAAGCACCTCCTCTACAGAAAATGTGAAGCATCTGCAAAGTTTGGTGCATGTTTGAAAGCAGCTGAAGTTAGATACAGAAAGGACGGAGCTCTCTGCCCGGAGCACGGAAGTTGAGATGAGGCAGTCCAGCCAATAGTTGAAGTGAGATGAACATAAGACACAAAGAAGAAATTAGAACAATGGCAGAACTTTTTTGAGGAGGGACTTTTAGAGTTGTTGAGATATTACAGGCTTCTAAATGATTTTACTTCAGCTGGGCAGAGGGACAAACAGCCTCATTGGCTCTTTCCTGAGGTAAATGAATACAACCTCCTCTACTGTCACCTTACATTGTTAAAAACTACAGTGCCATGATTTAAGGGGACATATTGAGACTCATAAAAAAATCGACTTTAAAAGAGTCACACATTGTTGTTTTGGGGTCTTTTCATGGGTTTTGTTGACAGTAAGAAATGTAAAATGCATATACAGATAAGAGATCAGCGATTCATTGTATGCCAGAGTTACATTATTAACCATGTCACTCACCGCACTGGGTCCATTGTAATTGTAAGTCTGTTTTCTTCCTCTGTTAAGAAAAACATATGTTAAAATCAGCAGCTAAAAAAAAAAAGAAAAAAAAGAAACACCTATTAAAAGGTGATCCCTTCACCTAAACAGGGTTTTGGCCATTTCGTCCATATCCACTAAGGAGCTTTCAGAGGAGTTCCTGCTCCCTCTCCGCTCCACAGATAAACTCCTGCCTCTGCTGCCAGACCGAACCATCTGAGGATACGCCTCTCTGGAACGTGAACGCCCCCTCTCAGGTATATTGGGCGATGTCAGCATATCTCTCCGTACCTTCCTTTGTCTGACGCAGAAAAACATGGTTACAGGTATGACCCAAAAATGAATATCAGTGCACTGTCAAGAGAAACTAACAGAAACCAACTTTTTTTCCGCCTCTTTCTGTCTGCGATGTCTGTCCTGGATGTATGCTGTCGGGTCAAAGCGTGGTACCCGTGACCCTGGAAGATATAGGAGGGAATCTCATCAATCTCTCTCATCAATGACATTTTGATCTATAAAAGCATCTTTTATGTAATTATTTAAAAAGGGTGAAAGTATGTACAAGTTACAAAACTTATGTTCACAATTAACAGAATAAAACTGTTACACAAGCACACAAAGACAAGAAAAACAGGATCAGTACCAGTAGGAGAGGGTGACGGCCTGGATATGCAAGCACGTGGTCCTGAGGAATCTGCTCTTCTTCCTCTTTCATCTGACCTTTGCACTCTGTCGTAAACCCGTTCTCTGGAGCCTGAGCGAGCCCTGACCGTCCCGTACCTTGATCCTCTCTCACGGGAGAGAGAGCGATATATTTCCCCATCAACCCGAGAGCTGATGTGACCGGACACTGGAGTCACTCGCCTGCAGACACACAAAGAGGACAAATACTGAAAAGATGGACGGATTCAGATTTTGAATGTAAAGTAAGCATTGTACGTGAATGAATGAAAGAGAGAGAAAGTAAAGATATAGTACACGCTGAGATTGTCTAACCCTCTCCGTAGTATCGCCAGTTCATTGGTGAGACTCTTGACACGAACACGGAGAGCACACTCTGATGCTCTCAGCTCCTCCAACTGGTCAGGAAAGAGAAGAAAACAAGTTAAATCCAGCTCTAACAAAGAAAACAAGATGAATCTTTTTCAGCTGACTACCAGGTCCACCTGCTCCATTAGGAGTCTCTGCTCCTGGCATCTCTTGCTTGCAGAGCGTTGACTTTTGGCTCTCTCCTTGACAAGCTGTTCCTCCAGTGTCCTCGCCACATCTCTAACCCTCCAGTCCTCTCGTCCAGATGTGGAACCACTTGCAGTCATCTGCAGTTGCTCCAGAGCTTTAGTCATAGCCTCCTTCTCTTCTTTCACCAGAGCCAGCCTTGAAAACAGCAGGAGTCATCAGAAAAAATCCCAAATCCCTTCATATCGTCGGTGACTAAGATTAACTGCAACCTACTCTGCTCGTAGCCGTTGTATTTCCAGGTCTGCAGATTTGTTAACTCCCCGAGAGGTGAGAGCGCTGAGCTCAGCCCTGAGGGCTCTGACCTCCTTCTGCAGGGCAGCCGGGTCAGGCTTACCCACATAGGGCAGGGGTAAAGGGTAATGTATCCTAAAAATTCAAAACAGTCAGCACATCAAGACAGTTATCACCAATTAAAAAACTGAACTACTGTGTTCAAAAGAGGGCTTAATACAACAAACACGACATGGCCTGTAAATAATATAAAAGTTACCAAAGAGAGACTAACCTGTCAAACTCCACAGTGTATATGAGGATTAGATATCTTTTGGCAGTGAGAGCAGACGACTGCTGATTTCCGCGAGGACGACTAACCACTCCTGCTTTCCTGTTACGTAGCAGCTCCAGGTCAGCATAGGTCAGGAGGTCAAGTGTAACTGAATCGCTCATCTGAAAAAAAGTTCACTATCAAAAATCTGAAAATAAAGATTACACCACATCAAGACAGAAAAAAAACCTGAATAGAAGATATGTCATGTCTACTCTATTAAAAATATATAAATATAATATTTTTATATTTCACTTTTGAGAATTGCAATGTAATTGTACAAATTTGACTGCTTGACTGTTTTTGTGCTTCATGTAATTCTTTTGTTTTAGCCACAAACAGCCAGGGTGCTGATGTCTGGTGGAGCAGTGCAAACAAAGGTTTTGTGTGTTTGTGTGTACTGTACTTTTGTGTAAGCAGTAGCTCAGCTGGGATGGATTTCTCTATGTACCCAAAATTCAAATTGTTATACTTATTTTCCTCCAGGCTCTTTTCCGTTTAGCCCATGTCCCTGTACAATAATGAAGAGGGAGAATACGACAGCTCGGGCTAACTGTACATTTTTCGCTCAAGTGGAAACGCTGGACACGAATGAGTCTTGCCTCAGCTCACACAGCCTCGAGCGAATGTGTGAGTGTTTGTGTTCACATCGTTCTACTGACCTCATGTTTACTCATTCCGCCACTATTTTTTTTAGAGTATCTGTATAAAAGCAGTGTCACACATACCTTTCTAACAGCGGATTCCAGCATGCTACAGAAAATGGGAAACTGCTTGAAGTTGCCAGTTTTCCGAGTGAGATCCTCAATGTCTAAAACAAATATAAAATAAATGAACAGCGTTAGTGGGACTATTTGTGCCAGTGATGAGAATAAGTCAATGACAACTGTTTGCTACTTACATGCTGGATCAAACTCCCCCCTCCACTGATCCGCTGTCATTGAGTCTGAGATTTCCACCATCAGCAAACCTTTGTCCACCTCTATCTTTACAGAAAACTCCACCCCTCGAAAATCAATGTCCTCCATCACCTCAGAGCCGCCCTCCATTGCTCTGGTTCTGTACAGAAGAAATAAATGTTATCAATGAAGTATAGGCTGCTGAAATCAACTGACTACTATTACAAAATACACCTGGGTAATGTTAGTGAACATTTTTACAAGTTATTGTCTGGCTGCCAAGTCATAATACAACTGAAGCCAGGAACAAACTACTAGATCTATAGCCTGGTCATAACCCTACATTTCAATTGCTTGGAATGGCTGTTTGGTCCACAGACAGAAAACAGTGGATCCCATTGTTAAGTCAACACATGTTGTCTCTTGGTGTAGAGACTCAATCCAGATGGAGCCATTGTGTTCATATGAAAATCTGAAATGGTTTCCCAATAGTTTAGAGTCAGAAAGTTACAGGGAATTTCCTCAACAGAGGATCAAAAAAAGTATATCTTGGAGAAAACTGAAGAGAGAAAACTGAGAAAAACAGTCAATAAGTGATACATAGCATGTTTCTGAGTATTTCATGTCCTGAGGGGAAAAAACCCTAGCAAGGATTTATTTTAAACAATATTTAATATAAGCAAGTTATGAGTGCCATAATGAAAAAGTGGCCAACTTTGCTTCAGATTTTCTAAAAAAATCTACAGTAACATCTTCTGAAACTTGACCTACAGACAGTGGAGGTCCCCATGATCAAGGGTGAGGTGAAATATCTGTGTCACCTCTCAGGGATGATAAATATATATATATATATAGATAAGCAAGTTAGGAGTGTCCTGATGAAAAAGTAGCCATCTTTGCCTTTAATTTTCAAAAGCACGAAAACATGTATAAATCATATTCCATTACATTGCACTTGTTGTTGTCTTGTGTGGAAATCAAATAAAACATCCGTAATAAGTTTCATAAACTTCAGTGTGAGACAACGCATTTCATCTCACACTGCCTGTCCTCATCATAACATACCACGAGGGGCGGTAGTGAGCACACTGAGTGCGTTTTAAAAGGTACCGTCACTTTCATTGAAAAAAGTTTGGTTGATGGGTCATAACATATGTCGAGGAGTAAGCAGATGCATTAGCTCGTGTTTTACGGGGTAAGTTATTATGCTATGCTCCGTTTTGCTGTGGTACAGTCTCATTGATATTTCGCGCTTGGCTTCACTTTCTCCGGTGCACAGTGGGAGCGACAGTGACGGACGGTCTGTGTCTGCTCCTGCAGCACAGACACAAACATCGTGGACCGTGTGGCTGTTCGTTGTTCAGCTACAACAACGTGACACGCGAGGCTCGGTTCCTCTGAGAAAGAAAAAAAACACGTCAGCTGCCACTTCTCCGTCAATAGGTCAGCTAGCAAGACTGACATCCTCGCTCTCGTAACGTTGACGTTAGCTGAGGTTAGCTAGCATGGGCAGTGTCGTTGGTTAACACTGGGTAGCTCGAGTTAGTAAATGTGACCCTCGGAGAGCTAACCAAACTGTTCATGTGAAACACGCGAGGATATTCAGCGAGCAGGAACAAGTGAACGTTACCTTTGGCTGCAGTAATGCTCCTTGTTGACGTGAGTCGTTAGCACTTAGCTACCCGTCGGAAACACATCGCGGTGAGTTAGCATGGAGCAGTGAACGTAGCAGCTAGCGGCTTGACCGGTGTTACAGTGGAGCCCATCGCAGTTCGTGAAGCACCGGCACGATGGAGGCTGCAGCGGTTCAACAACCGGGAACCGTTAAATTCTTCTTCGTCTGTCAGCGCGCCCTCCGCTGCCTCTTCTTCTGTCTGAGTTTGATGAAGCCTCGCCGCGTCTCAGGGGCGTTGCTGCCCCCGCTGGTCAGGATGACGCTTTGCACCCACTGTACGACAAGAGTTGATGTTGAGAGTAGCGATAGAAGAAGTCAGGGAGGGCTAAGAACCACAGTTCAGTTCCACCCAGTAGAGCACAGACTTCCACCAAGACCCAACAGTCTCCTTATGAAACCACAGTTAAATTCACTAGATGTCTGATTGTTTCCCTCAAGATCCATTTATTATTATCTGAGAAACAAATGAAGAAGTTGAAAAACGCCCTATCTAGCAATGTTAAACAAAAGTGTGATCTGGATCCTTCCCCTGATCTGGATCCATACCAATATATAATGTTTTTTTGCTTGGGTGCTGCCTCACCCCTCAACAACATTTCATCGAAATCGGTTGAGTAGTTTTTGTGTAATCCTGTGGGGGGAAAAACAGAGCCAATATCATAACCTCCTTGGTGGAGGTAATAAAACTGTAAATTCTACATTTTAAGTAAAAGTCCTGCACACAATAATGATTCATAGTAGTATCACTGATAA